GCAATGGTAAATTATATGTGACACTTTTTCTTGATCCTGATACTGATCTGTTGAGCTTGAAGATGATATTTCAAGGCATGAAGCTGGACTGTTGGAGTTGTTCAAGTTTAAGAGACATTAAATGTAATTAGAGATGGTTTAAATCCTTTTGATGGATTAAAACCATTTTTTCTATTTTTAGAACTTCTTGTTCTTTGATTCTTGTAATTCATTCTTTTGGGAAATAAAATTATTTTTTTTTTAAAAAGATGTGCAATGTATTAATTGTGTTAGTTTTTTATTGAACACATGTATTATTGGTGTACAGGTGAAAAATTTTATTGGAATATCATTTTTTATGAATTATTTTTTTAAAAAAGAACTTTTTTGCGACGAAATTAAAATCGTCGCGCAAAATTATAGGAACAATATGTTTCGCGACGATTTTTTTACGTCGCAAAAATTAATTAAATTATTATTTTTTATATTTTTATTTATATAAAAAATTATTAGCGATAATTTTTTTACGTCACAAAAACTGAATTAAATTATTATTTTTTATATTTTATTTATGTAAAAAATTATTCGCGACGATTTTTTTAAGTCGCAAAAATTAATTAAATTATTTTTTTTTACATTTTTATTTATGTAAAAAATTATTAGCGACGATTTTTTTACGTCGCAAAAATTGAATTAAATTATTATTTTTTATATTTTTATTTATGTAAAAAATTATTCGCGACGATTTTTTTACGTCGCAAAAAATTAATTAAATTATTATTTTTTACATTTTTATTTATGTAAAAAATTATTAGCGACGATTTTTTAACGTCGCAAAAATTGAATTAAATTATTATTTTTTATATTTTTATTTATGTAACAAATTATTCGCGATGATTATTTTACATCGCGAAAAATTAATTAAATTATTATTTTTTATTTTTTTCGTGGAATAGATTTTAGCGACGTTTTTTGAACTATTTGCGACGTTTTTTTTTCGTCGCAAATTTTTTTTTTTTGCGATGAAAATAAATTTGCGTCGCAAAATACTTTTTGCGACGAGGCTATTGAGACGAACACGTGACAAAAAAAACGTCGCAAAAAATAATTGGCGACGATTTTTTTTTATTTAGCGACGAAAAAAATCGTCACAAAAAACGATTTTTGTTGTAGTGAATGGATAAGAGAAGGAGCACACGCCTTAGAACCATAGAACCAAATTATTAAACAAAAATTCAAAAACAATTCAGTAGAGTTCAATAACAAATACTACCTAAAATGACCTAATAATACTTAAGACACAAAAGTAGTAACCAAAATCTCACCAAACATAAATTATGTCCAAATTATTAAAATAACATGCAATTTTATTCGACCACCACTATAAAACTAAGTCCAAGGAACTTATAATCCTCTAATCGAAAATGCATGCATTCGACTATTAAAAATAAATAGAGCATTTCTTCGGGATAGATCAAAAATGCTCTCGCTTTGACAGAATCTGTGTTCAAGTACGCAAAAGCTGTCATTTGACTATCAATATCTAACCCTTCAACATCCATGACAGCTTTGTAAAGGTCTGAATAATTTATGCAAGACTTACTCTTCTCGTATGCATCCGTTAGTCTTACCATGTTATTTGCAACAACATTCATTGTTTCGATAACTATCTTTGCATTTTTCGGCTTCTTTGAATTACGTCTCATAGGCTTTGAATATCCATGGTTGCGATTGCTTTGAGCATGTATTTGACTACTGCCACTCTCTTGTTGTTGTGTAGATCCATTACCTTCTATACCACCCAAGTCATCGACTGTTGTATTCTCATTAAGATCAAATATCGGTGTGTAATCATCGTCACTATCATTCATTTGTCTTGACGAGTTTGCATTGATATATTTGCCTGAACATGCCCATGCTCGGGTTGCTTGATCATTGCCACAAACAATAGTTAATTCATCAATCGTATCAATCTTTTTACCACGCAATCTTTTTGCATCTCGATTTGCCTAAAAAAATGTATCAAACAATAGTTAGGCATGTTTCGATAAATTGCTTTCATTTTTTTTTATTGCAAAATATAAATTAGAAGTATTATTATTTAAAATGATACTTCCGACAACATATGTAGCGCAGACTTGATCACTACACTCGACTACTTTTGCCACTGGATTACAAGCAAATTCACTTTTGCTCAACATATCCTGTATAAATCTAAACTTTTTCTTTATGGTTTTTAATCGATTAACACAATTATCTCGACTCAGTGAAAGGTTAAAACTAGTACATATAGCAATTCTAGTACATTGAGCAATTGAAGATGGAAGAAAAACTTACTTATCAGTTGGTTGGAGTGTGATATAAAAAAAAAAAAAGTTGGCTGAGCAGTCGGCTGAGAAGTTGAGTACTGAGAGACAATCTTCCTTCAAGAGTTGGCTGAGAAGATGAGTGCTAAGAGGAGTTGTGGTGTGCTACAAATAGGGGCGGAGTGGTAAAGAGAGAAACAGAAAAACAAGTTTCATGGGAAAAAAAAAATTTCGTGCAGATTTTGTGGGAAATCAAAAACCATCAAATACACGAAAATCTGATATTTATTTTTTATGGGACCCACAGATTTTGATATTTATTTTTTAGATATTTACTATTTTATCCATTTACATATCCAATCCAATACAATCTTCTGTTTGGATTTCTCACTTAACCTACAAACATCTATAATTTTTATTTTTTATTTTAATAAAAGAGAATTTTTATTTGAAAGAATCAAACAATCACAAGAATCAAACCCAAGAAGGAAATAAAGCCAAATAAGGCTTTAGTCCTTCAAAATGCAAACAAAACCGAGGGTTGGACAGAAAATCCTACTTGATCTTGAGTCAACATCTTCTTCAACGTCCTAGGTAGAGAACCTTGAATAGAAAATCTGTATAAGATAGCAGAATAACCTCTTTGAACAGAAAAATCTGTAGAAGGTGCCGATTGAAGAGATGAAACCGAGGCTTGAGCGGGCTTCGTCCTTTTGCCAACCAGCTCTAACGAATCACTCTTTCTACTACAATCAACAACGCCGGAGTAAGGTGGAGATTGCCGGAGTTGGGTGTCCTCTTCGACAATAAAGCGAGAGGGGGGGGGGGGGGGGGGGGGATTGGTGGCTTATCCCGTCTTCTTAGTCGCGTCTGTGCACCAGCCACAATGATGTTGATAGAGGGGCAAATATGTCTATAGGGGAATAACCCATTGACTCAGTTTGTAACCCACGAGGAGAGTGAGTTAATTATAACCGGTATAAGGGATTATGAACCACTGTTGCAATCGAGTCAAGACTTGACTCGGATTGTTATCCTACCGCAAAAAATGTTACTCAAATAAAGAATAAATAACATTCACTACTTTATTTATTTTTATGGTGTTAATCCTCTTTATCCCACTATCTAAACACATCCGATGTACTTAAAAGAGAAATAAGATAAGTGTCACGACCAAACAAGAGTTTGTTATTTTACAAAAAAATTATGTCTATTAAGCAGTCGACTATGATATCAAAAATTAATTATTTATTAGTAACGTATTATTTTTATTTTTTTGGTTCTAAACTGTGGAATGGTAAATATTAAAAATTTATTTTTTGGCACCATAGAATAAAATTTATTATTTGGTACCCAAAAGTGTTATGGATGCATTTGAACTCAAATCAGACAACCTCTACCTATAGACTGTCAAAATCCACATCTTTTTTTCGACTGTCAAAATCTACATAAAGCTGATGGACTTGACAACGATGCGGAAAAAAATGAGTATTATATTTCTAACATTTATTATTTTAATAAATATTTTTATAATTAATTTTTTATTTATTTTTATAGATAATTTATTACTTTTATAAATATTTTTATCGTTATTATGAGTATTTTTATCAATATTGTAATAACTATTATTATTATTTTTTTTTTGTACAAAAAAACTTATCAATTTTATGGATGTTTTTATCACTGATGTGAGTGTTTTTTATTACTATTGTAATAATTATTTTTATTATTTTTTTCGGTACCACAACAATAATAAAAAACACCCACAAATATAATAAATGTAGATTCAAATGTAATAAAAATACACAAAAATGTGATAAATATCGATAAAATACTGAATTTTTTTTCCCATAGCTTAGACAATTCCAAATTGGAAAGCACCAAAACACCTTCAAAGTTTGCCAAAATAACAAACAAAGGATAAGCAAAATAATAATAATAAAAAAAATATAAAAAATAACGATATCTAGACTTAATTTGAGAATTTAATCTGAATATCTAATTCAATATAACTATTAGGATAAAAATAAATTATATCTAACATTGAAACTCACAACTAATTTTAAAATGATTCTAATGTGTATACGAGAATCAATCTAAACTTTTTCTTATTAGTAACTGTTGGACTACGTTTGATTCATAACTAACTTTTTCGTGTTTATAAGTTGACCTTAAACGAATTATAAATAATTTTGCAGTTCGTCAAAAATAATATTATTTAGACTTAATTTATTAATTTTATTTATTAATCTAATGCATCATAATCATCCAATTAGTAGTGGGTCATAATCAACAGTGAAATCCACTGTAGCAAAGAATGATTAGGACCCCAAATTATATTCACCTAGAATTTTCCTAGCATATTAGATCTAAGCAGCATTTCTCATGAGAGAGAGAGAGAGAGAGAGAGAGAGAGAGAGAGAGAGAGAGAGAGAGATTCCATTGAACATTGAGCAAGCCCTTCTACTTAATTTTTTTTTACCCTTATTACCATATAACTAGAAATACACCAAATAATAGTACAGTCTACAAGGTAATTGTGCTCAAGAAGCTCAATTGCACAAACACCCATTGCTTTATTCTTCTGGCAAAACATACCTAGCTGCCAGTTCACAAGTTCGTACGTACGTAGTCGAACCACAATAGTAGGGCCATTCCATTCACTGCTTTGAGTGATGCGGTCTGGTGATCTTTTCGTACTTTTGAATCAAATATTCAACGCCTTCTTGCAGCTGTTTCCCTTTGGCAATTGAAAAATACAGCAGCCACTGGAAGGCCTAGCTCGTTCTCTTCCGCAAATTTCCGAGTGCTAAACCCATCCCTCAATGCAGGTGGTGGAGTGTTCACTGCCTGTCTTCTTTGTTGCTTGAACAGCAGAAACACCAACCTGTGAATCCCTATGTTTGGCCTTGGTTTCTCATAGCTCACCACCTCTTTTCCTGTGTATTTGTTACACCCACAAGTTGATTAACTCATTTCATCACATGCTCTCTCTCTCTCTCTCTCTCTCTCTCTCTCTCTCTCTCTCTCTCCAGTGGACAAGTAGACTTACCAAACGAGGAATCTGTTGTGCCTGGGATGTCTGTGGCCATCCTGTAAGATGGCCAAATCAAGTACAAACTGTTTAGTCCCTTGCTAATAGCTAAAATTGCACAATCAATGTTATTTGGACCTAAATCATTGATATAATTTTTTAATTTAATCACAAACAACTATTAAATATATTGACAGTGTATTCCAATATTTGTTGGAATCCGCTACCAATTCAATAATTGTAATAGATTATGTCAACAAATTAGGCATGAATATTATTATTGATTGCATATGAGTAGACAAGCCATGATATTTTTCGTATGTGGGTAACCCTAACTGGTGTTACTATATAGTGCATGGTACTAATTAAACAGCATTATTGAAGCTTGTATTATATTTAGTGCTCAATTATTTCTTCATTTCATGAATTTTTTTTCTTAGAGTAGTTACTGGAGGTTTTATATCAGTATACCAGTGTAAGTGCTCTTTTAGGAATGGATCGCTAGGGCCTGGAACATCTGGGTCTGTCATGATCTGCCCAAAAAAAATAAAAAAGGTAGCTTCAAATGACATCACATGAAAAAACAAATAAATATTTTAAGAAGATTAGAGAACTAATCGATGGGGTAACTGGAAATACCAGTGTAAAGAAGGATCGCATATCACCCCCAAGAACATCAACCCTAGGTTTAGAGGTCACCATGGAAGGAAGAAACTCATGGCCATTATAGACTTGCTTGTTGGAGTTGTAAGTTACAGACATCTTAACAGTTGGAGAGAAATTATCAATAACATCTCCAATCACTCTCCCAACTACGAGAGGATCTGATATTCGGGCCATTTTAGAGAGAGAGAGAGAGAGAGAAGGGCTAGGAGATTGGATCACACAATGGGTTTTCTTTCTTTCTTTTTGTTCTCTTGGAAGATCTTTTTGTTGAGCTTTGAAGTTGGAGGCTTGTATTTATAGGGCTAGGAAACACTGTTAAAGCAAATTCATGTTATTGGAGAATCAAGGGAGTGGATTTTTGAAAAAAAAAATAGATGTGAGCCTGTAAGGTGAGCAAAATACGATTTATTGGCATCACATTAGTCATTCCTTTCTTTTTAGATAATTTAATGCTCTGTTTGATAAGAATGATGGAAGGTAAGGAGGATAGACATTAGAAGAAATATATTTTCTATTTTTCAAAGAAAGAAAAAAAAATAATACATTTTTTTTCATTTATTTTGATTGGATAAATAAAAAATGAAAATGACTAAATTTTTTTTTTTTTTGTGTTGGCTAATATTATGGGTGACAATCGAGTCGTGTCATGTCAGATTCATGTTGAGTTATTATAGATTTGTGACGAACATTAGTCACACCTAACTCAACTCATTTAACTAATTGTATTGTATCGAATTACGAGTTAATCTGTTTATTTTCGTGTTCGAGCTAATCAAGTTCGTGTCATAAAATTCGCATCATCATGTTGAGTAAAAAATTTTCACTTCTAATTAAAATAAGCTGGAAAAATATTTTTTTAATTTAAATTTTTATATACATATTTTATTATTATATTTTTATATGAAATTAATGTATACATAATATATGTATATATAAAAAGATATATAGACAAATAAGATACATCTCAACACAAATAATTAACTCTCCATCCACTTTCTTTCCGATTTTGAAGAGATTGATTTGGGTGAGTCGGAAGAAAAGTTAATTCATTCACTTTTTCATCATTTCTATTTCCTTCCTTACCAAACATGATATTTTATTTATCCTTTCAACTTTCTATCCTTTCAACTTTTCATCTTTCTATTTTTTTATCATACCAAACGAAGCATAAAAGAAAAAATAAGAAGAATCAGCACATTAGGAAATTCTTTATGATTACACTAATGCTATGTTTGATAAGAAGGATAAAAAGTAGGAAAGATGAAAAGTATGAGGGATACACTTTCTATCATTTAAGGATGAAAAGTAAGAATAATACAATTTTCTTCTTTTGTGTTTGGTTGGATGGATGGAAAATAAAAATTATCAATTTTTTAATTTTTTTTGTCTACTATTTGGGGTAACAATTGAGTCGTGTCATATTAGATTCATGTTGAGGCATAAAATTATGAGTCTTTCATATTTTTTGTTCGCGTGTCAGGTCATTTTCAAGTTCGTCTGAAGTTATAATCATATTCGTGTTATAAAATTCGTATCGAGTTCAAGTCGTGTCATCATGTTGAGTCGAAAATTTTCACTCTAGTTAAGATGAAAAAAATATTTTTTTATTTAAAATTTAAAATTTTTTTAAATATATATATAAATATATATTTTATTATTATATTTTTGTATGAAATTAATGTATACATAATATATAAACAAATAAGATACATCTTAACATAAATAATTAATTTTGCATCTATTTTTCTTCTGATTTTGGAGAGATTGATTTTGGTGAGTTAAAATGAAAGTTAATTTATCCACTTTTTCATCCTTAGAAAGCATGTTTTATTTTTTCCTCTAATTTTTCATCATTTTATTTTTTCATTATACCAAATGAAACATAACTCATTTGGAAAGAGAAGGCCAAACGGAAATAAACAATTGGTAAGGGACCAGCTTAAGCAACTATGGGCCATTCTAATTGCAAAAAAAAAGTACAATATTGACAGTGGACTTAACCTTCATGCGGGTGTTTTTAAATTAATAAAAAGTGGGATTTTTTTAGCGAATCTAGCATTACACCTTTAAAAATAGGAATAATAGTTTTGGGATTTTTAAAAATGATTGAATAACGTAACATAATGATATGTCTAGTGATATAATCTGAATTAAAAACGATTAATATTACAATTATGATATTGAACCTCGTCAGCTATTATCAAAAAATTAAGTCAAAATTTTAACATGTTTCTAAATTATTAAGAAATGGCTTCAGAATTAACTTGTGCTGCTCTCTCTATCCCCCTCTTCTATCTCACACTAGCTAGTAATGTGGGCTTTGTCATTCTTTAGCTTAGCTGCTAGCTAGAGAATCATGTACGCGAGGGATTGCATGCACAAGAATAAAAGGGCAATGAAAAGATGATTTGACATGCAAGTTTTAGCTAGGATAATAATCTATTTAACAAAAGGGATCAAAAAAAAAAAAATCAAATGATATAACGTTATACTATTATTTGTTATATTTAATTTAAACTATTAAAATTTTTAAATTTTGTTCGTGGTGTTACGGCGGTGTTGAGTTTTTTAGCCCATTTAGCATTATTTCAGTGGTAACTACTCTCCCTCCCTCACTCTTATGTGGGTTTCCGGTGGGCGTTTCCATCTGCTATTTTTTAACTAAAATCAAAGACACAGAATTTTAAGATACTCTGTGGAGTGTGGAGTTCACATTCTAAAGCAACTACAACCTTTAGGTCCTTTTGTTCTTAAGGCAAAAAAGGTGAAATTCCTCATATGGGTGTTATTAGAACTTTCCAGATCTGATACTTCCTAAATGACCTAGGTGTTTAGTGAGATTATTTAAAAGAAGAGTTGAGGGTATAAAGGAACTCCACCACAATTGCACAAAAAAAGATAAGTTAGTTTGTGAGGTGGTCATATCAGGGAAAAAGATTCAGTTGAGCTTATTCCTAATCAGAAATTGGCAATGGGAGAGAGTGGGTTGCCATATATGGACTTCTTCGTAACTTTTTGAGGCGTTGAAACCAATGTTATCAGAACCGGACCAACCATCAAACCACCTAGGACTGGGTCAATGATTCACTGGTTCAATCAGTGGGTCACTGGTCGGACCGGTCATATAATAAAAAAAAATAAAAATATATATATAATAATTGTAAAACATAATAATTTAGCTAAAACATATAAAATATGTCTAAAATGCATACAATTTGTCTATGTTTTTTCTGGGGATGCAATACTGTTGTATTTTCTTAAAATTTCTGTTTCCCTCGTACTTTCATGAACAGCCGTATCTGCTTTCTACCATGAACTAACGATCTCTTTGTTTATTTCCTTTTTGCCTTCTGTTTCGCCCCTAGGTATAAGCATTTTTTAATACTAAAACTTTCGGTCAGATCAAGTGGTTGCTAAAGCTTTCGCAAATTCCTGAAGTGACTGAGATTCCAAGCTCAGTCGTATTTGCAAGGCTTAATTGATGGATTTAGCATGAGTGATGCTTTGGAAGTTAAGAAAATTGAAGCAGTGACCAACCATGATTTTACCCATCGAATCACAACAAAACTTTTTACCTTAAAGGGAGGAGTTTGAGTTCGCTGGTAGCTGATCGCAGTCGAAGATCCCTGCCCCTGGACCCTGGTCGCTGATAGCAGTCGAAGGAAGAACAGTTCGCTGAAGGGAATTTTTATTTATAACTTGAAACTTTATTTATAGTTTGATTGAATAATTTTGAATAGTTATGATTATTAAAAAATACTATGATTTGAATAGTTATGATTATTAGGAAAATACACTAGTTGAAAGGTTGTGACTTTTAAGAAAAGATACCTCTTTAGAAGGGAATTTTTAAGAAAAAAATATATACTTGGATGGTTGTGACTTTTGGAAAAAAGACACCAAAATGTCTATGAATATAGCCTTAGACTTCATTCACAAAACACACTAGAATTCTGTATAATTCCTCTCTCTCTCTCTCTCTCTCTCACTCAGAGAGAATTATAATGGTTCAATGAATTTTTTTTGGATGTTTTTTAATATTGCTAATTGTAGTTCTTCACCTACACGCTTTGTTGTATCCTATAAGTGATTTATCAAGAATCTTTTAACAAACTCTTTCAAGTGGGACCAAATATCACTTTAAAGAAGTGATCATACATGCCTCAAAACCTTAATTTTATTTTATTTGTCAATCTGCTTGAACATTTTCTAGCACCTCCTTTGCTATTATGCCAAAATTTAAAACGTTTAAAAGTTAGTTTATAAATTTTCAAGGGTTTAAGTTACAACTTAAAATTGTTTAAATTACAACTCAAAATTAAAGTGGTGAACGACCATAAAAATATTGTGACAAATCACAAAAAATATAACTTATAGAAGTCAAGCAACACTTTTTATGTGGAGCTATGACTATTCATGATCAATGAGAGATGAATCAATCACAACATAATTTTTGGTACCGTTTCATTAGTTTATAGTTCTGGCATGCACATAAATTTGGGTAAAATATACTTTTAGTCCTTAAAGTATGCGCTTAATGTCTATTGGTCTCCAATTTTTTAATTATGTCTACTTTGTCACTAAAATTCTTAATTTGTATCTAAATAGCCCAATCTCAAAAGTCCATTAAAAAATCATGACGATTCTCATCATATACCAATCACGTGTGTGGCAAACTTTTCTCAAATTTTTAGAAACAGGATGATCGACGCAAGTTTAAATGGTAAACTTCGACAAATAGACAACTCTCAAATCATGTCGATTTTATACTGTTATGAAAAGCAAAGAGTGCTAGATAGAGAATGAAAAAAGACTGCTCTCTTTTTAACAGTTATAGAGATGAAATTTGCAGATCTGAGAGCTAGGACGGAACTAGTGAGTAACGATTACTCTATAGTTTGGAATCCAACCATGCTTTATTATTAAAGAGAGGGACAATACTCTACTACGAAATTAACGATTCGCTTGAATTCTCCAAATCGAAAAAGTATTTGTTATTGTTAATAATGTCATATTAGAATCTTCAATAACTGTATTGATTCTATCAAGTAACAAGTTAACAATTGAAATTGCAAGAGAACATGACCAATGTAAATGGAAAATAATCAATAGTTGGTAAATAGTTTCTACAGACCAATTTAAATGGAAAACCTTAGGAGTCCAAATTACTAGAAGAGTGAAGCAAACCAAGTAAAATTACAAATAAAAAACCCCGACAATAGGGTAAAAAACAAAAGAGTGTTTCGAAAGTGGTCTCAAGTGTCCTCTTATTTGGCTTAGCAAACGGCAACACTCTCGATGCTTCTCATCTGTGTTATGTAGTCCTATGAAGCAAACAGATGAGAATGGGGTAGAAAGCCATCGAGTGACACATGCTGCGTATATCTAGCAAAACAAATTTTGGTGGAAAGACTTCATAGGAAACGCTCGTCTACTTCAATAGTACATTAAATCAACATCTATTACTGTTTTGACCTAAATTATAAAATTATAAAAATATTCAATATATTGACATCTGAATGTCTTAGGAAGATGTCACGTGACAAAATTGAAAAAATGCGAGAGATGATCATCCAAAACAACGCATTTGAAACGAAGAAGAAAATAACTAGAAGTTACCGATCAAATAATCATCGATGGAGATAATATCATCAAAAACAGTAGCTATAAAAAACATGTAGTGGAGAAGATGAAAGATACATTTAAACCCTCACAATACCCACTATCTGGGTATTTTAGGAGTAATGTTAGATTAGCTTAGGAAACAGTTACTACTGTAATTAAAATCGTTAATCTAGTCTTTTCTATAACTGAAGTCCCTTCGATTGAATTAATAAAAAAATCATCTTTTATTAGTTCCATGTACTGTGTGTTTGTCCATTAAAATTCATCCAAGAAAGTCTTGAAACAAGATATTTGAACCCCTCACAAGCAATCACCTGAAAATTATCTATTGATTGAGTTTTTCCCATGGGTAACAACAAAATTTAGAGCAACAACTTCAAAAATTAATTTATTAGAAAGAGTGCAGCTAGAGTATTCATATACTTCTGCACTATGCAACACAAGATGATGGTAAAAAATTCCACAAAGCCTGCATAAAACTTTGCTGTAAAAGTTGTCAAGTCATGACTTATGATGTAGAAGACCAAAAATAGGTTCTGTTCAATAAAAATATTCACATGATAAGGTATCAAAATTATTTTAGGCTAAAGTCACACAGGTTATTTAAAAATTTCTGAGGTGAATTTGAGGGAATTGGCCTAGCTAGCTTGGACCCCAAAATAAATAATCACATGATTAGTGTGAAATGGAATCGGTTACCCCCCCCCCCCCCCCCCCCCCCCCACCACCACCACCACCACCACCACAACCACACACAAAATCTCATAGACCATCTATTATAAAGACTAAGAATTTAACAACCACCAAATTCTACCCCACCCCCTTAATGCCTCTGTGTAAAGTACGATATAAATTAGAGTAGTGTTATGGGGATATAATATATTGTGAGTATTAGATTAATTGCGAGTCTTAACATTTAATAAAATAAGTTCATTATCATTTCAATAGTTATAAGATATACAGTCACATATTAAGTATCGAGTGGCATTATCTGTAGAATTACATGTTGTAGCACTTGATCTAGTTAATTAGGTATTGGACAACTGATAGGATGACAGGGTTGATTTGTTGGTGGGAACTATCAAACAATGGAAAGTAACCAACTTTAAGTGACACTAAATCCTATTGTGTCCTCAGCTCTTAGGATTGAAGTGATTATAAGTATTGGTTATGCTCGGGAGAGTTAGTGAGCTCCAATTTAAGACATTTGAATATACGATAAATCGTAAAATCAGTTCCACACCGTTCAACTATTTGTATGGATTATTTGTCCGGTTTGTTGTAGGCCGATACTGGTAGTCGTATCCAACTTGACACTACTTCTCGTTGTGATACCGTCTCATGTTTTATGTAAATCACAAACTTCAAGGGTCATTCAAGATGCCTTCAATTCAATTCCGAGTCATCTAAGTCATCATCACTAATTCGTGTGATACTCTTCATGTTGTGATATGAATTGAATAACTCGTCATTTTTTACTTTCATGATATCGAGATTGATATGTCTTAGTTGACTCCTAATTGATGGACGATTATGCAACCTTAAACCCTGCTTGGAAAAGGACATTTTTTAATCTTGTTTTTCAAATTATTTGTAAGCTTTTGGTGCTATCACAAGTTCTAATGTATTAACCTATTATGCGCTATAATCTTGGAAAACCTCTAAAAAGACCTATTTCTATTGGAGAGAGAAGGGCTGAAGAATAAGAGATCCTTCACAGCACAAGATGTCCAAATGAAAACTTCTTGATGATCACTTAAGAGGGATGAGGCTTTAGTTTGAACTACAGACGATAAGATTGTGTATATTTGACTCTTACTGAATCTTACAGTAACGACAAACTCTTGGATAGCATCTAGTTGATTATCACTTGTTTAAGCTTGGTTTTAGGTCGATTGCTGAATTTGTATTCTTATATTCAAGATCAACATGTTTTTAAATTATACTCTCTAGTGTGACTAGACTTAGCTCGTTATTTTATTACAAACTCAAATTTGAAGTTAAGTTTAGATTTTGCACGAAGATTGAATTTTTTTGAGAAATCAAGAATTGGGTTGACTAAATAAAATCCCATAAAGTGATCAATGATCAACAATAAAACCTTACAAAAACCCACAATTTAAATCAAACAAAATCCCATGAGAGAGAGAGAGAGAGAGGGGGGGGGTAGAGCAAGAATCACGTTTGTTAGAACAATGGTATGTTAGGTAGAACCACCAAACATTCAACAAGGTATAAAAGTGATGTGAACATTATTATTTTTCGGAGTACCAACAATCTCTAAGCCACATAGAATACAATCATCTCAACTAGAAAAATCCTGGTGTAGCTTTCTTGTTTCTTTTTTTTTTTTTGCAAGTAAGCATAGAGGTCGGACCTAAAGGCTAGAGCCGTATCACGTGATCATCCTTCCAAACGATAAGGCCCAAGTTCAAGGCCGAAAGTACTGCAACTTCCATTTTGCTTTCCCTGAGCTCTCTTCTATCTATTGAAGATCATTTGCTGATGTTGACTAAGGCAGTGATTGTGCTTCTGTTTAGTCTTGTGGTATGGGCTTATCAAACAATAAAGCCTCCACCGCCAAAGATATGTGGCCTCCCCAATGGTCCTCCTGTTACTTCACCACGAATCAAGCTTGGTGATGGAAGGTATTTGGCATACCAAGAGAGAGGCGTTGTCAAAGAGAACGCTAAGTACAAGATCATTGTTGTTCATGGGTTCGACAACTCGAAGGACATGAATTTAGCTGCGTCTCAAGTACAATTATCAACTCTGTTTATGCACAAATTGCACATCCTTATGAAAATTCAATGAGTTTCATCTTTTCATTACCACTTCAATTTGTACCCTTTCATGTTCATTTGTCTAGTTAAGATTTTGTACCCTCTAGAGTGGTTTAATTGCTAAGAGTTCTAAATTCTCCAGATGTTCTTTAGTAGTTCTGTAATTCATCTGCTGTTGAATCTAACTACAGTGTTAGAGCCTTTCTGGTGTCATTTTACTTCATGATCCTTAGATGGAGGAAATCTTAATCCCACCTTACGCTAATTCCATGCCTTCCAGTTTGTGTATTTGATTTTTGGCACGGATTGTGACAAACTACGATAAACTTTTAGTTAATCTGGAAACTCCCTCCCTACGTTTGGTCCAATCTCTCTCATGTAAGACTAAACCAACATCCCGTTTTTCATTGGAAAGGGATAAATAGTGGATTAATTGGTAAAATCGGATATATCTGTTGAAGGGATGGTAACAAGAAGCTCGGACCATCATCCTCAAAACAGTAATTCCACTAATGAGTCCATTTTGAACTTAGCATTTGGTAATGGCATTCGAGTTAGCATGAAACTACACACTTACAAATTCAATGCCTTTTAACATTCTGTTGCTGTGCAGGAACTAATTGATGAGTTGGGAATATACTTCTTATTATTTGACAGAGCCGGGTATGGAGAGAGCGATCCAAATCCAAATCGCTCGGTGAAGAGTGAAGCATTTGACATACAAGAACTTGCAGACCAGCTAGAACTAGGGTCTAAATTTTATGTGCTTGGAGTTTCCATGGGAAGTTATCCCACTTGGGGTTGCCTCAAATACATACCTGACAGGCATGACATTCACTCCAATACTAGCCACCTGTTTATCATATCCCTATATTCGCCCCCCCCCCCCCCCCCCCCTCTCAAAACAAAAAAAAAAAGTTCTCATACAAGGTTCTATGCTAAAAAGGTGATGAAAGTGGTGTCTTTCCAATCTTGAGGAGTTTCAAAAATTTCAACAAGGGAAAAAAATCTTACGATTCTAAGTTCTTTTGGTTCATTAATTCTGAAGAATAGCAAAAAAATAGGGAGTCAATTTCTAATTTTGATTGAACATGACAATAGCGCGTCAACAAAGATTTGATCGACTGATTTGCTTTAAAATTTTGTTGCAGGCTAGCAGGTGCAGCTCTAATAGTTCCGGTTGTAAATTACTGGTGGCCTTCGTTTCCTTCCAATCTATCCAGGGAGGGTTATGGGAAACTACCATTGCCAGATCAATGGAGTATTCGGGTTGCACACTATGCGCCTTGGCTACTATACTGGTGGATGACACAGAATTGGTTCTCCTCATCATCGATAGTGAAGAGCCACCCAGAAATTTTTAGTACCCGAGACAAAGACATCCTGAAGAAGATGGCTGCAAATCTGAATCGTAATCAGGTACCCTCTTGTCATGGATTACATTAATAACCTTCCAGCTAGAGTCTAATGCAGCATAATAGACATGTCAAAAAGGACTTTTAGGCAACAAAGATCTTTCCATAATCAAAACAGTTGTTTGACGGCACAAATGCATCATGAAATTTGCCCCAATCCTTTAAACTCCAACCTGAACACTAAATTACTTCAACACAGTCTTGTCCCAGCAGGATTCATGATCGTGTTGGATCTGAAAAGTTTTACGATGACTGTTAAGTGTTAAGTACCTAACACAATCCTGCTTTTAACCGGGCTTGGGACCAACTATGTGAAAGATAACTCTTCTAATAGGAAATTCTCATTCCCAGTAGAAGTGCTCTAGCAACTTCCTAGACATGGCAATTTTTCCATTCTACAACTCAGTATTGTGGAGGAGTATTGTTCGTCAATTTGATGGTTTATTACTGTCCAAGTCTATATGTTACCATACAAAAAGTGTCCCAACCACTAGGCACTAAACTCGGCACAGGCAAGGTCAGTGATTGACATGGATAAATTTTCAAAATAAGTTGAACAAAATGTTAAGGAAAGTTAAGAGATGGACACAACATATGAACTGTTTATGTATATGCCAGGTATACGAATTAGTACTGTTTTTTCTCGAGTAGCCCAAGAGAATTGACACAGCCTTATAGATAATTGTGTTCATGATTACAGACTAAGGTACGACAGCAAGGTATTTTTGAATCTCTCCATCACGATTATATGGTAGGTTTTGGAAATTGGGAGTTTGATCCGATGAATCTGAGCAATCCATTTCCTCAAGAGAGCAAAATTGTTCACATCTGGCAAGGTTATGAGGATCGTCTCGTGCCATTTCAACTACAAAGGTTTGTTGCAGAGAAGCTGCCCTGGATTTGGTACCATGAAGTTGACAATGGTGGACATTTGATACATCATGATAGTGACTTATTCGAAACCATGTTAAGGAAGCTTTTGCTTTGATGCCTTCTTTAGTCTCCTGTAAATGTAGTACCTAGCTGCTTATTGAAATCATATACTGTCCAATTTTATTTTGTACACAACTCAAAATTGAAGTTCTGGAGGAAAAATGCATGTTTCCTTGGAATGGGTTTTCTACAGAAAGTATGGAACTGAAAGCAAAAGAAAAAATAAAACAATTGTGGGAAGCATTCAGAAAACTGAAATAAAACAGGAGGCAGCACAGTAGTTGGAACGGGTTGACCGTCGTGGTTTCAAAGCACAAAGAAAGGGTAAAAAGTAATAAAAGAGGTAAAATGGGTACCATTTAAGCTCGGGATTCAGTGGAATCAGTAATATTTGATCCAAATCAGGTCAACGATTAAAACTTATCGTTTCGTCATAAGCTCCTTCAGTTTTGAACTGAATTTCAATGTTTAGACTTTCAAAATCATGTTTTTGCTGTTTTAGGAAAGATTTATGAAATTAATGATAAATCATAAGAGATTGTAAATTCAATGTCTTCAATTTCGTTAGATTTCAAATGACATGTGATTTATGTTAATTAGGAAAATTGCATATTTTTATTTTTGGTATTTTTCATAATGTTAGAGATTTTGCTTCTGCTTTGGGAACGATTAGGATTTTGGCAGTTCCTATTTGTATTGCTCCTTTGTCCTACTAGTTGACCATTGAATAATAATATATTTTAGAGTTTTTATCTACTTTTTTTGTGGATTCAAAGTGTTCCTTTGGGTTCGATACATACAGAGTTACAGTGTTTTTTGTTCCGCTGCGACAACAAAAGCAACTGGAAAATGGTGAGCAAAATAGGGGGCTCCGGATCCCTCAAATCTAGCCAATTCTAGATTTTTTTGCAGCGAAGACCTGTAATTCTTCAAACCTAGGACAGGCATGGAGTAAGAGATGACCTTTTTTCTGTAGTTTCTTAGCCGATCCTACATTCCTAACTTTAAATAAAAAATGAAATAAGAGCCGATTTCTCCTATCTTTCCTAACCCCAAGTTACCCCCATCAAAATAATTCAATTCTTATAGCATTCCTTAATTTTCTCATCATTTCTGCAAGAGTCACTTCAATGTTTAATTCCAGACAAGGGTTTTGCTTTAACTTCACTGTTTACACTACAGATTTATAAAGATGATCTCACCTCAACTTTTTGTATACAAGAATAAACAAATGGTTTTCAAATTGTGAACAATATCATTCCTTTTTTGGATAGGGTAATTTTATAATCATCAAAAAAATAATTTATTTCTATCAAATTTATACTTGAACAATCAAGTCTCACTTTTCTTAATTCATTCTAAAGAAGTCCTAATTTTTACTATATTCTATTTTTAGTCTTTTAATATTAATTACAAACCTACCATTGTTCTCTTCTAATTAAAAACTCACAAAATAAAACAATCAAAGTTTTGTTCCTACCCCACTGACGGGTGGGAAGAACATCAACAAGGCTCTTGCAACTCTCCAATTCTTGATTTTTTCAAGTAGATTAATTGCATAACTAGTATATTTATTTAGGTGATCAAACATTATGCTAATTTCAGTATTTAAGTATTATGTTAATTGGTTATGAGCAAATAACTAGGGTGAGAAGAAGTAGTATTGTCTCTAAAGTCATGATAAAATACTAACATTTTTCAAACTCTTGGTGACTCGTGGAAAAAATCTCACTACTTAATTATTTTTATTTCGATTCACAAATTTAGTTATTTTAACGTTACGAAAATGAAGTTAATACTAGAAGGATTAATGGCAATTCTGTAATTAATATTAAAGTAATCTACAGAATAACTAAATTTTATAATTCTATAATTAATAAAATAAAATTAATGGCAATTTTGTAATTGGAAAGCCGTAAAAGCATATCAGTGGGGTTGGAACAAAACCACTAATTGTGTTATTTTGTGGGTTTTCAATTAAAAGAGAATAATAGTAATTCTGTAATTAATATTAAAAGAATAAAAATGGGATATAGTAAAAATTAGGACTTCTTTGGAACTAATTAGGAAAAGTAAGACTTGATTGTTCAAGTATAAATTTTATAGAACTAAATTATTTTTTGGGATAAAAAAAATTAGGTACTATACATCTATTTATTATATTTGTGGTTATTTTTATTATATTTGTGTGTGTTTTTATCATTTTTATAATACCCAAAAAAATTAATAAAAATAGGTACTACAACAATGATAAAAAATATTCACAAATATGATAAAAATAGCCATAATATGGTAAATTACTCATAAAAGTGATAATTTTTTTGTACCAAAAAAAGTGATAAAAATAATAATTATTATTATTATATATGTGGTAAAACACTTGCAATAATGATAAAAAATATCCACAAATATGATAAATTACATACAAAAATTATAAAAACACCCATTAAAATAATAAAAGTTTGAGGTATAATACCAAAAAAAAAATTTGGCTACCATAGTCAAGTCCCAAACTCGAGTAAATATTGAGTGTAATCATCCAATAAAAAAATAACAAAACTGATAAAATTAAACCTCATTCCCTATCATCAAGATGATTATGTATTACATATCTGAGTGGTTATGAATTTTAGTGGAACCCATTTACTAACTTGTTTATTTATTTGTCTACAGTTACACCACGTAGCACTGTTAACGTAGTGTAACGATTACGCCCAATATTTTTTTCAATCGTAGATGATATAATCGGCGCTAATCCATTCAACGAATAGAGACAAAAGAAGATGATAAAATAATCTTTTGAGCCAAACGTAAAATTCACTCAATCCAATAAAATTACAAAGCCAATTAAATGAAAATTTATATTACCAGATCAAGAAATTAAATCAATAAGTCTTGTTTTTAAAAGTTTCCAAAAATCCATTCATTTCATGCAAGACTCATTTATAATCTAGTCTTATTGGGTCCATGTCAAGTTTACTTATTGGATTCACATATCGTCTCAAATTGTTGCACCTCGTATCTCTAATTGATTCCTTTTTTTTTTAATTCTAGAAATGCACATTTTCATTAAAAAAAGTTACAAAATTGAAAGTTAGACCAGCTACGAAAGGACCACACAACATGTGTATTTATTCCTCTTACCCATTGCTTAAGCCTGTTAGACATGTGTAGCCCCCAGCAATGCACTAAAGAATATCCTTGGAACTAGGCATAAACCCAAACCAATGATTCCAATATTCCTATAAAAAAAACTTATTGGTCTTGAAACGGATCCCACGTTAACCCCAACACGTTAGTCTCTAATTAAAAAAAACAATGCTTTAAGTTTGAGTGAGAATAGCCTCCTCGTTTATTGATTTGAACCACTAACCTATCCTGAAATTGACCCATGGCACAGCGCCCATTCACTTCGCGTGTGGGAAGGCAACAAAGTTCAATTCATGAGGCTGCAGCGGAGTGGAGCTGCCGAAACGCGAAGTGATATCTTTATAAAATTAGAATCCAAAGAATACACGAAAAGAAAGGTTATTAATTCTCATCACCCAATTTGTATAAACCAGAAATATACTTGGATGCAACGAACTTTCATGAGAATTCACCGCAAATGATCTAACATTGATAGAATTAAAAGATCTCCCATCGGAGTTGGTCTCAACTTCTTAAATCATTTGATCCAATACAAACATTGTATCATTATTATGATTGAAGTTATATCCTTTTTCAACTGGATACACTATATAAACACTGAATTTCACTTAAATGAGGAAAAATGAAACATAAAATTTCAAGGATAATTTCAATGGTAACAAGGATAAACTATAAACTCATACGTCTTAAGTTCGAATCTTAGTAATATCTTAGTATTGAGTTATAAGGGATTTATCTCTCATAAATACTTTAGTTTTGACATGAATGGTCTGTTTTTGACTAGACGGCTAAAAAAATTAGTCAAGATATATATAAATTGATCCAGATACTCGACAAAAAAAAAAAAAGTCATAAGGGAAAAAAAATGTGTGCACTAAATTTCATCCACGGAAATTGTAAGGGTCGGATGTTCCGTTTGAGTTTTTGGCCCCACAAATTCATTGTCCAGCACCAGCAGTAACTCAGTACAAATTCAATTATATGCATTAATGTAATTGTCCACATTCCTATGTGGATTCCTGTCTTTATGTAACTGTTATATATTGGCTGGCAATCCAATATATATATATATATATATATATATATTTTATTGATAGAATTTGATCAGGTCGGCATGTCAAATTTGGCACATCATCCACTGAAACATAACTAGACGAGAAGCGAGAGACCTACATGCTGACCGAAAGGATTTATTATTGATGAGTGAAAGACTTAATTGTATATAAAGAATCTCACTTGAATGGATAGTAGACGATGTGTTAAAAAAAAAATTAAAATAAAATATATTAACGGATATTTCACTCTATGCTGACAAGGGCAGAAGCGGCCCTGTTCAGGGTGGGCAAGTGCCCCGCTCAATTTTTATTTTTCTTATTACTTAGTAATGTATATTGCATATTTATAAAGTATGTTATTTGTGCCTACCCAAAATCAAAGACAAAAATATTAATGTATACTTATATCAAATGAATAATTTTAATTATGTCCTCCCTATATTTTTTGGTACATCAATTAGTATATATTTATATCAAATGAATATGAATGTTTTAACACATTTTGCGCTAGTTATGTACCTATTTAGATAAATTTTGAATATACTAGAATTATTTTATATTTTCTAAAACTAAAAAAGACATAATATACATATTCGCTAGTTTACTTGTGATTTTGACATTTTTTTTTGTTAATTATGGTAAAAATTATAGAATGCATGTTAAACTGCATAATCAATCAAATGATTTATAAATACCAAAGTGATAACATTATTATGTATCTAAAGAATAATAATGTTGTTATACAACGTTTTAAAAGTATAAAAATTCATTGAAGTCAATTCTAAATGATTTTAATTAATTAATATTTTGTAAAAAAAATATTATTGTTTGTATATACTAGACTTATCAAATTTCGGTATGGTGGGTTTAATGAACTTTTAAGTATTAAATAGGACGTAATTAAATAAATTATTGTCCTGTTTCTATCAATTGTAAGAAAAAAATAATAGTTTGTTGAAATATTTGTGTCCACCGTGACATAATTTTCTAGCTCCGCCCCTACATGCTGACGTGATTCTTTCTAAGAAAATCTTGTTTATTTAGCAATTTAGATTTTCTCTAATACATTTTTTCTTTAATTTTCTCCTTAACAAAATTATTCACTATTAATAAGTAAGAAAACCACTCATGTATAATATTAATAGGTTTTACTCGATACATGGTAGTGATCCCTTCCAATATATTTTTTCTTTAATTTTCTTCTTCGAAAAACACTTATCATGCATTTAAAATGAGAACTATTATACACATTAATGGTGTGTTTGATATGATGAATGGAAAAAATAAAAATATGAAAAATAAGAGTAATAAACTTTTTATCCTTCAAACGAAAAATTATTTCTTCTCTTTTTTGTATTTGGTAAGAGAGATAGAAAGTATAAAAAATTAACTTTTTTTGTATTTAGTAGGATAGAAAAAATATAAATACATATTTTACTATTTTATCTATACATAATATTAATGTGTAAATATAATATATAAATAGGATATATGCAAGTACTAAATGATACAAAATTACAAAGGTAAATAACACATGTTTTGACATACATAGTTAATTTTTTTCACTTTTTTTATTTTATTTTAGAGTGATATATTTTGGTGAATTTTTTCTTTATTTACCAAGTATGATTTTTTTTTTGAATTTTTCTAATTTTTTTATCATTCCAACCAAAATATGATGATGAATGATATACCGATAAAGAAATTGAAGAGAATTTATAATTATAATATAAAGCAATCTAAATTTCAATAAGTCCATCTGATGATCTCAAATTGACTTATTTAATGATCACCAATATCCTTTTTAAAATCATTCACATTTCATCATGTCTTCAGACACAAATTACCCCTAGTTTATAATATAAAATAGGGCAAGCTTCAATAAATTTATCCGAGAGTTTCAAATAGACTCATCAAACAGTCTCTAAATTAAATGGTAGATTTACGTTACATTGTACTTTCAGGCATGAGTTATATCTAGTATATTAAAAAATATTTAAATCCGTTTATTTAAGATCATCACATGTCAGCCAGCTAAGTCCGGGGATAGATTGGTCAATTCACAATGGATGTACAGCTTAGATTACTGATTTACACCCAACATCTTCAAGTAGAAAATAGCTAAAAAACCTCCAAACGTCGGCAACCACGTGGAAGGCTATTGGAAACGCAACGAATCGTTTTGAATTTGAAAAGTTGAAAACAAGTTCGGTATCAGAGGACAAAGCACCGTCCATAACCATAAGTTACCTAACATGAGTGGCCCAACAAGAGTGGGGAAGATGCGGATTTCAAACGATGAGGAATGTTTATTCCTTTATTCGGAAAGTCTGAGTCAGCCAAAAAATAACTCATTCATATCAAGAGTAGAATATGAGTAATATTAGATGAATTTAAAAATAAGACTTAAAAATTTTAACCATTAAATAAATAGTGGGTCCCAATAAATGCTATAACCCACAATAAAATCAATAATTTTAATTATTAAATTTATTTTTTAAATTCATGTAACATTGCTAGTAGAATATTGATATAAGATAAATTCCTTAAAGCCTATGATAAATGCTATATAGGAACGGCTCAACAATGTTATTGAAAAAAACTTAGGTTTTAGACCCAATTTTTAAAGAAGGCCCCTATAATTTATAGGTATGCAGTAATAGTCCAAATAAAAATTTTAAATCTATACTCAAACAAAATATTTTAACTTTAATAGATTGGACCTATTAATTATACCGTGAAATTAAAAGGCTCTAAAATTTATTATTTAAAAAAAAAACTTAGAGTGAAACTACAGCTTTTAAAAAATATAGTCTTAACCCCCCAAAAATTAAAGTTTAAATTTATCATCATAATTTTTTAAACATTTTTTTTTCTCTTACCATCAAATTTAAATATGATAACAAAAGGTTGAATATAAAATTTTGATTAATATTTTGTATTTTAAAAAATTATAATATTAAATATAAAATAATCTCATTTATCGTTTTCGCTTTTGCCAGCAAAATATCTCGAGCCCGTAGTTTTAAAACCTGGCTCGGACACCAACCTAGAGAAGGGACCGGGTCAATGGATTTCTAGTTCAACCACTGGGTCACTGGTCGAACCGATGATATAATAAAAAAATAAAAAATAATTATTAATGATGATAAATAGACTAAAAAATTAAAATAATTATAAAAATAACATGTTTAATATATATTAAATCAAACAAAGTTATCAAGCCTGAATCACTTAATTGCATTTAATTAATAAACCAATGCATTCAATTAACAGCTCAGCCTCCACCCTCAAATTTGAATTACTTAATTGTATTCACTCAATTTTTGAGTTAACAAACACTGAACGAATGATTTAGGATTTAGGGCAAAACAGAAGGGAAAAGAAAAAGACACAAAAATGTAAAAAAAATACATATTTATACTAAAGGAACAAAACCGGCCGATTTTGTAAACCCGGTTCAATTTTCACCAGTTTTATTCTGGGTTCTTTGGTCAAACGGTCCAATTACAAAACCGGCCCGATTAGGGGACCGGGTCAACCCGCCAGGCCGGACCGGGTTTTAAAACACTACTGGAGCCGTCCTCCAAATGTGAGTATAGTATTGAACCAAAATTAATTGGAGTTGTGAATTTGAATTTGGATGATTTCTAATTATTGATTGATAAAATAATAAATTATTAAAAATAAAATAATAAAAAATATATACATATTATATTTTTATTAAATAAAAAATTAAAGTTTGGTACCAAATTTTATTTATTTTTTAATCGGACCCAAGCCCTCGAGATTTCCAATATCTCTATTCTTGTTCCCACGTGCGATGGTTCAGAGGACAGTGTTGCTTAAAAGCTTTCAGAGCCATTGAAGAGCAGCAAAACCTGAACTTGCTTGGATGACCCATAAAACAAATCTGGAGTACCTTCTCTCTCTCTCTGTCAGCATAGTCTGTAAGTGCCCAACACCATGTGCAGATAGTCAAAAGTGACCAAGCATCCAGTCTGTATGATAAAATTCCTCTGAGAAAGCCACCTACCACAAGTCAAAAGAGGGAGGAGGGAAGGTTAATCAGAACCTCATCTGTTGGAAGAATCTGAAGAGTACCCAAATTTTAGATCAGCAATTCATGTGAAAGCTGACTGGTAAGCTCAAATCATCCCTTATCTTCTCTATCCGAGTCCATTTATGGTTGACCCAGTAATGAATTTTTGCTTGATTCAGCCATGGTTTTCAGGAGAGTTTTTGGTCTGATGATGGCTTGTCTGTGAATCTATCTACCTGTATGGTAATAATCCTTTGAAGAAGACATCTACCACAAGTCAAAAGAGAGAGGAGGAAAGCTAATCAGATCCTTATCTGTTTAGAGTGTGAAAAATCTGAAAGTCCCCAAATTTTAGAGCAACAATTCTTCTGAAAGCTCTGGGGTAAGCTCAAATCATCTGTGGTCCTTGCCATCTTAATTCATTTATGCTTGACCTAGTAATTCAATTTGAAGTATTTTGGCTTTTTGTCAGTCCATGGTTTTCAGGAGACTTGCTGTTCTGATGATGGGTTGTCTGGGAATCTATCAGCCCACACAACCTGCTCTCCCAGAGAATACTGAATCAACATCAGGTGTTTTACCTGTGACTTCATCCAGAATCAGACTCGGTGATGGGAGGTACCTGGCTTACAAAGAGAGAGGAGTCCCCAAGAATAAGTCCAATTATAGAGTCATCATTGTTCATGGCTTTGGCAGCAACAAAGAAATGAATTTTCAGGCACCCCAAGTAAAAGATGCAACTCTCTCCACCTTCTTTTCTACTGATGTGAAGCTTTATATATATTGTCAAGTTGATCTTGATTTATGTGAAAATTTGGCATTTCATTCCGAAATTAGAAGTCTGATAAGAGTAATGGAAATCAACCTCATGTAGCTAAGCGGTTCAGAAATGGATGAGAAATCTGACAATATAATTATATGAACCTGAGCAGATATATAATGCATAAATATTTATATGATAAACCTTAAAATTACAAAATCTTCGTATAGTAATGAAGCAATTTGGGACCTTGGGTCTCGAAAATTTTGAAAAGCTTCAACATCTTGCCTCTTGAGCTTGAGGGTAATTCAGAATTAGTTTGAAACCTCTTAATATTACAGAGTTCTTTTCTTATTCTCAATAGGATTACTTAGTTTGAAGAAAGCATTTACTGCTAACAAATGCTGCAGAGCATACATTGTGTAAAGGGCCCTAGACAGCAATACTGAACACTAAATATTGTGACTATATGAGGACGGTTAAGAGTCAATTCAGAATCCCTTGTGGTTTTGCTTGCTTGGAATCCTTGTGATGTGAACCCTTAATTTTCTGACCATATTTGCAGATGTTAGAATCCTTTCTCACCAGGAAATCAAAGAAGCAATGCAGTACCAGAACAATTATATAGTCATATAAAATGCATCTTACAATGTCATTGTCTCCAGGAACTACTGGATGAGTTGGGGATATATCTTCTCCAATTTGATCGAGCTGGATATGGAGAAAGTGATCCAAATCCAAAGCGCTCATTAAAAAGTGAAACATCTGACATTCAAGAACTTGCTGATCAGTTGCAGTTAGGAGCCAAGTTTTACGTGATAGGTGTCTCGGTGGGATCTTACCCAACCTGGAGTTGCCTAAAACGTATACCACAAAGGCAAGACATTTTCTTCAGACTCTAGCTTGTTAGCAATTGCAATTCCAATTTGGCCTAAGACATTTGGTTCCTTTTTACCTCAAAACTTATAATTGCAGGCTTGCAGGTGTGGCTTTAGTAGTGCCATTTATCAATTACAAATGGCCTTCTCTTCCTGATCATCTGACCAAGGATGACTACAGGAAGAATCTTGCTAGATGGATGCTCTGGGTTGCACGCTATGCCCCGGGATTACTACACTGGTGGTTGACTCAGAAATTGTTCCCCTCATCTTCTGTCCTTGACCGAAACCCTGCATTTTTCAGCACAAAGGACTTGGAGGTCTTGAAGAACACACCAGGATATCAATTGCTGAGCCGGGTAATCTCTCTTTCATCTGCACATAGAAAAGGAATTATGATAAATCTACATGCCCAAGCTACGTAATAATCCAAACTTGAGTTTATATATCTGTTTAAAAAGAAGTAACTAAAGATACTAAATCTTCTTGATATCTGCAACCACAAGAGTAGTGATACAAATTCTCTCTCTCCTTGCAGAACCAGCTACAGAAGCAAGATGTTTTCGACTCTCTTCGCCGTGACTTCATCGTGGCTTTTGGCAAGTGGGACTTTGACCCACTGGATCTAAGCAACCCATATCCTCAAAATGAAAGCCCTGTTCACATCTGGCAAGGTTATGAAGACAAGGTTGTGCCTGTTCAGTTGCAAAGATATGTTTCGGGAAAGCTACCCTGGATTCGGTATCATGAAATTCCTGAGAGTGGACATTTCGTTGTATACGATGGTGATGTATGTGAAGCCATTTTAAGGTCTCTTTTGCTTGGAGAAGATTCTCCACTGTACAGACCTCAATTGGCCAACTAAATACACATTGTTCTTTTGGTCATCGACGGGATGACCTGTTAAGTAAATTTGATTTCTAGACAATGAGAACTTGTGTTGCATTGTTTCAACTTAATTTTCAGCATCTTTTAACAAACGCCAACTGCCCCAAAAATGGTGTTTTTCAGGCCGCAGATAAACTCGAATATTACAAGTTTGTAGCTGCATGAACCAACAGGATGTACTTTTCTTCCCGGAAAAGCACATGTACGGCTGAAGATCTGGAATCTGCATAGCACACTACCTTTTCATGATCCAAAGAATCTTTTGATAGAGCCATGGACCCTTGTGTTACATATATATGGCAAATATATATATATATATAGTTATTTACTAATAGTGATATATTAGTTAGCAAAACATTATTTGCATGAATTATCGTAAACATAAAGTATAATAGTACTTTCTAAATTAAGATTGGTGGGAAAGTGAAATTTTCATAACCTTGAGTTGGAGGGCAAAGACATAAATCTCACATTGGTTCTTAAAAATTCTTCATGGATTCATCTTCATCTATAAATAAAGGAAGAACTTCATTCTCTACACTAAGGTCTCAAAGAATTCTCTTAAAGAGGAGGTTTACATAATGAGAACTTTAAGTTATAATTTTGTATATGTATATAATATATATATAGAAGAAGAAGAAAAAATAAAAGGAGAGAAGCGACATTCGAACGCTAAAACAATGTTTCAAACGTACTTTGCTCCCAATATTTTTTTAGAATCTCAGTTTCTGACAAAAATTGAGATATTGAGACTTCAGTTCGTTCAAACGTGACTTGCTCCCAATACTTTGACATAAATCTTGGAATCGAGATACTGAAAGTCGAGTATGTTCGAATGTGACAATCTTGTTCGAACATGATAAGTATTCTGTTTGAAATTAGTCTCTAACATTTATATTATTACAACTTTTTCAAGGGGTGTCTTCTACCATGGATTTGAAGGGTTACACTCCTTCATTAAGAGATGTATAGAACACTATAAATAAGGTTTAAGTGCAAGAACAAAATATTAACAATTTAATTCTTCCTCTTCATCTTGATTCAAAGTTTCTATATTTTTTGATTTTCTATTCGGGTTAAATTGTGATTCCAAGATTACTAAAAAGTGTAGTCTTTGATAATTTTAAAATTAGGAATTGTATTCTGGGGATAAAATTTTCAATAGTTCATTTGTATTATAAGTGGAGAAATTATTATCTCGAATATAGGGAGTGTAGCGTCTTGCGTAGCAATATATCTTCTTCAATTTTTGATTCTTTAATTTTCTACTATTTTAAATTATTTTACCACACTAATTTCTACATCACCTTGTTAGCCTTCAAAGGGTCCCTTGCCCAAAAAGTTCCACCCCTTTATCTAAAGAGAAGATATTGGTTGCACTATTTTTCATGTCATGGGCGTTGACAAATTGGGTCTTACTTTTACATGTGGTTAAGTGGCTGAGAGTGTCCTTTGATAGTGTCAATTGATGACTGAAAAGTCTCAATTCCAATTCTTTCAGGCATTTCTTAAGGATTAATTATTCTTATCTCTTTGGTAATATACTTTAGACCAATTCAAACCACAATAATAGCCACTGAGCTAGAGGGTATAGTTGGTGTAAGTCTAGCATTGTATTGAGAAAAAATAAAGAGAAAAGATAATAGAGAGAAATTGAATCCCTTTTAAAGATCTACTATATCATATTTTACCTTCATTTAAATTTGAGTTTATCTTCATTTAAATTTGAAATTTTCTTCTTTTAAATTTAAATTTAAATTTTTCTTCATTTAAATTTAAGTTTTTCTTCCTTTAAATTTGAGTTGTTTCATTACAGAAGTCTATGTTAAATCAAGTTTTTTATATATTTTTTTTTACTCAAATTTGAGTAAAGATTTAAGTTATCATTGGAGATGATCTTATGGAGATGATCTTAGGACGATCATTTCACGTCTATTTTCCCCATCCTTTTCTCATTTCCCCATCCTTTTTTCATTTTCTTAGATCTATAAAACAAGTGTCGACCCAAGTTGTTAAGAAGTTAAGAACCAATCACCAGAATATTGAAATTGAGCATTACCGTTAGTTGTGTATTATTATTGTTGACCTATCTCAGCTCTTAAGGTTATGTTCCCTTTGTTAATGTTCTTTTTAAGTAATTTTTAAGCAACAAAAATAATAATTTGTCAAATGAACACACGTCCATTATGACATAAATGGTATATTAAAAATAATAATCTACTATGATGATGGCAGTGGCGACGACGACGACAACAGCAGCGACGACAACAACACAGTGATGATGGTATTGGTGGAGGCAACACAATTGCGGTGGTGGCGGCATTACAACAGTGGTGGTAGATAGTGGGTAATAAAAAATTAAAAGTGTAAAATATTTTGAGAGTATATGTTTTAATTATGAAAAATTTATAAAATCTTTACTAGCTAACATTTTTAGCACTAAGTGATAATATATGTGACTAATTATTTAAAATTTTAACATATTTTTAAGAACTGTTTAAAATATTAAATTTATGAGTTTTAAGTTACTAAACGGGTTTAATACATTAAACGCTTAAAATATTCAATTTTAAGTATGTTATCAAATACCTCATAAGATACGTGTGTATGTACTTTTTTTTTGTTTAACGATCATAAGTGTTCAAGTCAGCTGATACACATATTAATTAATCTTCTCTCCAGTCTGATCAAAAATATAAGTCATTTACGTTGGGATTATGATATTTATGAGAGATAACTCTCTTATGACCTATCGCCAAAAAATTATTAAAATTTAAATTTAAAACATTTGAGTTTATATTTCATTCATATTACCCCTTAAAGGACCATTATAGGTAGGTTAAATTTGGTACAATTAAGTAAATCCGAGCAAGCAAAAACTAAGGAAGTAAGAGAAGAAAGAAAAAAAAGAAAAGAAAGGGTGTTGGACGTTTCAAACGGCCTGGAGATGTCACATTTGTCGGACATAAACAGATGATTTGGAGTTGTTGATGGAGACACCAATATCTCGGAGACATAAAGGACACCGACTTAATGACTTAATTATCAAAAAAATATTGTATTTATCGAGTTTAAATATTTATAATATAAAATAGAATAAAATTTAATAAATTTATTTGACGATTTAAAATGAACTCATTCAACGATTTTAAATAGATTCATTTAACGAATAACGATCACTAATATCTCTCTTAAAATCATTCATATTAGGGTATGAATTATCTCTAGTTAGTTTATATTTGAGTCATTTGTTTCGATTGGTCAAGTGTAAGCTCGAGCTATATTGAGTCTGCTCATATTCTCTACGTTGTGTCTGCATAAGCTCAAACTCCAGTTGCGTTTTAATCGTTACTCAATTTTGGCACGATGGAAATTAGCAAACATTCCAACTAAACTCAAGCTAAAATCAGACTTAATTTTTAGATAAAAATGTCAAAAAACTAATTCTAAGAAATTGATAATCTATCCTACATTAATTAATTTTTTTTAAAAAAATATCTAAAATTTATAAATTCAATTACAATAGTCAAGTTATGAAAAAATAAGTAATGTTAAATTAATTAAATAATGAGAGAAGGAAATAAAGACCAAATGATATAGTGATGATATGTGTGGTGTTTTCTGCAATACTCTTTATTTTTTTAAAATAATTTTTTTTTATATGTCAATATCATGTTATTTAAATCCTAATAAGTAATTTAAGTGGTAATAAAAACGAGTTATAAATTTAAACATGTTAAGTTCGAATTTTAACAACTATTTAATCTAAGCACGGACCGGGAGAGGAGTAGTCGAAGTGTTCGTAAATTGGTTCATACAACCACCACCGTTAAAATAAAATAAAAAATAAAAAATTCATATTATTTGATTTTTATTTTTAATCCCGCTATTCGGTTAGAACATGTTACTGCAAAAAGATTTAGAACATGTTTCGTTTCTTTTATCCGTCGCTTAAAGTTTGTCAGACTCGTCAATGGCCTCCACAGTATGATGACCATGGTCAACAATATTTGATTCATGTCAATACCAAGTTCGACGCTGTTAGGGTTTGGAATTGGGTCAGTACACTCGCTTCCGTTTCTTCTTCTCTCCCTCTCTCTCTACACACACACACGCACACGCACACGCGCTATTTGAATTGAGTAATTTCTTGGGAAAATTGGTGATTTTCAGTACTTCAACTTGATTATGTTATAATTCATGAGTTTTTTCAAGTTGTAAGTTCCTCTATATAAGTATGAGATATCGCGGTCTAATATTTATTTTGAATTGGTATTTTTACAAGTTGAATTGTCATGCGTTTTGAATTGTAATAATAAACTACAATTCTCGTGAATGTGTTGTTTTGCAGGTAACTTTTATTTGTCTGTATTCGGAAAGTAGCGACGGAATACGGGTCCTAGTGTCTTGTGATCGCCTATGGGGTTTAAGTGCCGTTGGTTCTTTTCTGTGTTTTTGACATCTAAATAGTTTGTCTTTCTAGGTATGTTGGTTCTTTTGCTATGCATTGTTGATTTAAAATGCTTGCTAAAGCGGCGAAGGCAGTCTCAATTTTTGAGAATATTTCTGGGTTTTAGCAAAAGTTTAAGACTTTTGTGACACAGCATAGAGGGGATGGATTTAGGTTACATTGCCGAAAGGCAACATGGCAAGGAGCAATTGCCTTTTTCAATGTTTATTGCTCTGTAGTGGCTGTGATAGATCATGGCATTAAATGGGTTGCTTATAACATACATAGATGGGTTGTCAATTGGAATCGATAATAATAATCGGTTTTAATTGATGGGTTTCTGTCTTGGTGGTAAGTTGAACATATCGGTCAAGTATTTTTGATTGATTGCAAAACATTAGTGAGGGATTGGAGTGCCTAATGTTGAGTTCTGGGAACAATGCAATCCGCGGGAGTAGCACATTGTCATCAACTGATGTCCCTCCACTGCCTCAGTGTCTGATGTTGGAGCCGATTACATTAGGCAA